GGACGTGTTCAACACGATGCCCGTGTGCTGCGTGGTGAGCGAGAAGATCATTTGCATGCACGGTGGGCTGAGCCCCGACATGACTTCACTCGCCACCGTGAACGAAATAGAGCGTCCGTGTGATGTGCCCGATAAGGGTATTCTGTGTGATCTGCTCTGGGCTGACCCTGAGGACGAGGTGAGAGGCTTCCTGGAGAGCGACCGGGGCGTGAGCTACCTGTTCGGCGAGGACATCGTGAGCGACTTTCTAGACATGGTGGACATGGACCTCGTGGTGCGTGCGCACCAGGTGATGGAGCGCGGATACGGTTTCTTTGCCAACCGGCAGCTGGTGACGATCTTTTCGGCGCCGAACTACTGCGGCGAGTTTGACAATGATGCGGCCGTGATGAATGTAGATGAAAAGCTGCAGTGCTCTTTTCTCATCATCCCAGCGAATAATTAATCTTTGTTGCAGGTATGATACGCTTTTGATGTTATATTGCCCCTATTGTCTTTGTTTTTTTTTGTGGTTTCCTTTCTTACGGGAGTGCTGTTGCAGCCAATTTGTCCCGCTTTGTTCGTGCACTGATGACAGCCGTTGTAGTTGCAGTGGTCATTGGAGTAAAAAGGCCGTTGCCAACCCGATTTCTGCCGCAGTCTTCGCTCTTGTTTTGTATGTCGTTTGATGTGGACGTGCTATTGGTTTGAAATCATCGTTGAAATCGGTTCTGTTTTGCGGGTGTGTTGGTGTGACATTGTGTGTAAGTGAGTTATCGTGCTCTCGAGCTGCGGGGCACGCGTGCGAGGACGGGATGGGGAGGAGGTAAAGGATGGTGTAGGTGGCGCCTCCGCTCGCCATTCCTCCCTAGTCCTCTTCGTCTTTTGTTTGTGTGCCGCTTAGTGAGAAATTGTTGTTGCTTCCGCCGACAATACCATTGTGTCATGTGTCTCGACTTGTTTTAATCAATTCCCTGGGGCGGGCTTTGCGGGGGAGGAGCAGCGGGGTGTTGGTAAGGCGCCTTTACTGACTTTTAGGTCCTTTTGCTGGTTCATCTCTGCGGCTGTAGGGAGTGCGTCTGTTGGAGAAGCTTTGGGCTTGGCTCTAAGGAGTGCGGTCAAGTTGAGTTGTGCTTAGCCTAAAGTCTTTTCTGCTTTCTACTTGCTACGGTGTGAAGGGTGGAGGTCTGCTTTACTCTGCTTCAGTCACTTCTGCTTTACTCCGCGATGTTCTGTTCGTATGGTTTAATGTAAAAAAAAAGAGGTACACATCAGCTGTTGTACCGGGTGTGACCGAGTAATGTGCGGTTGCTGATCCGGGAGCATGCGCAGGACTTTGCAGTATTTATATATCTGTGAGAAGTATGCGTTCTATCCTTTGACGGATTTTCTTTTGCCATGAAGTTATGTGCCTTACGCTTGGACTTGTTGCATTCATCGTGTTGTGGTCTTCTGTTTTTGGGAGGTCCTGTGCCGTGACAGGGGCCTCCTTTTCCTAGGCTCACAGGGAACGGGGAGTGGACGGAGGGGCAACACCATGAGGGAAGCATAATTCGGCGAGGGTACGGCACGGTCGGAAGAGCAGGGAGGGTGAATCCAAAGAAAACAAAAAGGGTGCAAGACGCAACTATATATATTTGCATACTGCGTGTGTGATGAGGGATGAGAAAAGGGGGAAAGAGGACAAGGAACTCATGTAGGTATAGATGTACATGTGCAGGGATGGTGTGGGTGGGTGAAAGCGGGGAGAGAGGGACCGAGAGAGCACTTGCGTAGAAGTTGCTGCCGTTTTTACGGCGTCACCACCACCCCGTGATGACCCTTACCCCACTCCCATCACGCGAATATTTTTTTCTTCTCTTTTATTGTTTCGTTCGCTTTCTCGTAGGTGTGGTTTAGTTTATGTGTTTTTTTTGTTCTTGGGTGGGGGAAGGGGATGTGTAGTGGTGTGTTTCCCGGTGTCTTTGTGCTTCGCGTCTCTCCGCAGAGTTTGTAGTAGCGTCGCTGCCTGCTGCTACCGGCTTTTCTGTTTGCATATTTGCTGTTTGACTCGTCTCCAAAGTTCTTGTATTCACATCTTTTTTTGTTGTTGTTGTTTTTGTGTGTGTGTGTGTGCCGCGCTCTTCTTTCTCTGGTGCGATACCTGTGTCCGCTGCGGTGGTGCGGGTGACGCGGATCCCCGCCGTGGCGACGTGAATGCAAACTGTAATGTATGAATATATATATATATATATATATATGTGTGTGTGTGTGTTGCGGGCCGCTACAGCTGCGCTGAGGGGATGAACGAACTGCAGCAAGCGGCGATAGAGTGGGCGGCGCCACGCTGCTGCTGTCGTCTTGTGATCCAGGTCTTTTTCCTTTTGTTTCCTCCCTGCAGAAGCATGCATGTGAGAGCAGCCGCAGGTGTGCCGCATACCGGGCTGCAACCCAACAGCAACAGCGCAAGTCACTCACACATACACGCACGCAAAACAAAATGAAATTGTTGATGTATTTTCTCCTCTTGTCACTGTCTTTTTCGTTTTTTAGTATTCTCGATTATTGGTGTATGTGTGTTGTCTTCCTCGGCATGGCCCCTTCCCCCGCCCTCCTCGTCACTTGCCCCCCATCCCACCCTACCCCCACCCCGCTTCCCGCTCTTGTGAATTTGCACTTGCATTTGATGTCTAGTGGGGCCTTTACGCAACTCTTCAGTTCCCTCAACAAATTGGGACGTCGCAAGACAACAGTCACGAAGATATGATGTGCCGCCGTGCACGCGCGTGCGTGTTTGTGTTTGGGCGTACGCGTAGATAGTCGCGCCGCATGCATTTTGGTCCTCTGCGCGGAGGAGGCAGTGAGTGCCATGGTGCGCCGCAGTCTCTCCCTTTTTCTTCTTCCTTCTTTTTCTCTCTTATGCGGTCGGAGCGGAGTGGTGGATGCTCAAGTGGTGAATGTCTCGGCGTTTCTGCGGTGCGCGTGGATTGGGGCAAAGGCAAACAGCAAATGTCCACGACGGGGTGCAAGCACTTTAGCAAGGGCCACGCAGGCAAACGCACACAAAAACGAGAGGTTTGGTGGTGCGAAGAGCTACTGTCAAACATGTGGCCACCCCACGCGCACAGTTGACGGAAGACCGTTCTTGAAACTTGCAGTGGGCAAAGACCGCAATTGCGCACCACTCGCTTTTGTCCTATTTTCCTTCCTTTGGCTTTTCTTGCTGCGGCACTTGGAGTGGGGAAAAATTATTTGCAGTTCCTCGGAGGCGGTTCTGCTTGCTTTCTTACTGGACTGCGTCGTAGGTGGTGGCCACTGGCCGCCTCCCCGTTGCCGCTAGCAGCGGTGTGGCGGCAGGTGCAGTCGGCATGGAAGGCGTGCCAGAGGGTGAGGAAGACATGCGGGGGCTTCGCAGCCGTGGGGGCACGCCGTGGCTCCATCCCGCTCTGGATGTGGCCGGAGTGGCAGCTCACAGCAAGGTCGTTTCGGGTTCGCCGCCTTGCCGGCTGTCCCACGACGAGCTGCGCTGCTTTTAGCCACGGCCCACTCCGAGGTGCAGGATTGCGAAGAAGGCCAGTCCGTAGAATACTTTCTGCTTCCGCACAATTGTTTGCCGATGGAACGCGATGATGAGAGAGTTGATGCGTCTATTGCCACAATGCGTGCTACGGTCGGTGAGGTGGGGACTGATGAGGCTGCTAGTGTCCTTTTGTCAGGCTCTTTGCTGAATTTTGCTTCCCGCACGCACGCTCTCTTCTTCTTACTCTCTTGGCGCCGCCATGTTTCCACATTGTGGGCTCTGCTTATCGCGTGGCATACGGCGTTGTCGTTGTTGTTTGCGTCTGAAAAAGGTGCACGCTGGTGTCTTGCCCACCCGTTCTGCTACAGGCGTGCTTGGCGACCTTGGAGGTGTAATGGCAGCCAATACGAAGAAGCAATTGGTGAATAAACATTCCCTTCTCTCGCTTTTTGTACTGGGCCAAATGCGTTGAGTTAGGCGGGAACGAAGGGCTCGCTTGCATCGGCGGGGGAGGACACGCCCCGTGAAAAGCAAACAAAACAAGGAGTAAAAGGAGAAACGAGAAAAGGGAAAATGCAGAATGTAACGACTCGTGCCGGTGAAAAGGATCAAGAAGCGCTGGAGTGCGTGCTGCGGTTGCCTCTTCAAAACGCGGAATCAGCGCACATCATGATGCAAGTGCTGCGCGTGGAGCCGCCCGTGCCAGGGACATCAAAGGAGGTTCAGCTTTGGGCAGATGACAGCACACGATCTACAGTCTACGTCAAACTCGAGGCCTCCAAGGAGCGTTCATTGCGCGCAGCAGTGGGGGCACTTCTCGAACAATCTAAACTTATTTTACGCACAATGGACGCATTTCCTCTCATTGCACGCCAGACCGCGTAGGGTGGCTATTCTGTAGATGTGGTCGATGCATTGCTCGTGCGCTCTCTCTCTACCCCGTCGGTGGTACTGGAGTCACTTCCAGCCTTTATCTATGGGTGGTGTGCACAGGCGTACAGCTTGCTGTGCCGTGGATACGTCGCGTTGATGCCTTCGTCTTCTTTTGTTGTTGTTGTTGTTGTCTCCCCCAGCAAGCTAAGAAACTTCCTGTAACGTAAGAACGAAGTCAATGTCTGTCAAGGACGTCAGCAAGAAGAGCGGTGAGCTGGAGGGCAAGCTAAAGGGGAAGCTGTTCTTGGGCGGGACGAAGCCTTCCGAGGAGGATGTGAAGCTGTTTAACGACCTGCTGGGCGCCAACAACACGTGCCTGTACCGCTGGGTGAAGCACATGGCCTCCTTC